TTAATATATATTTTATTAAAAACTAGATCATTGGATAATGCAATTCAAGACTTTTTATTGGCTTAGCCATTATGGTATATCAGCCAATATACCATAATCTACAAATATGGCAAGCGTACGTGTCAGCTTAAAATTAAAAGGGAGCTAAAAATTTAATAAAATTTAATAATTTAATTTAACGTTTTTAATAAAACAATTATTCCACTCGCGCTTGTTGGATATGAGATGATTATAGCCAACTCGGCGCTACGCGCCTCGTTGGCTATCTATCATCTCATATCCAACGCGCGCTCGTGGAATAATTGTTAAATATATATATATATATATATATATATATATATATATATACATATATAGACGATACCACAAAGGTTGGGTCGTTTGGGGTGACCGTCTCGGTTCTCCCCCATCCTAGCATTAGCACTGCACTGATGAGGCCCAGAAGGCCGAAACAGTACTGTCTGCAGTTATATATATATATATATAACTGTATAATGATTATGGTGGCTACTCGCCTCATAACTGTGCATGTTGCTGTCCGAAGCCCGTAAAAGATATTTATATGTCTTACGAGCATTCTTACTTTGACTCTGTGTTGGTACCTCATTGATAAAAATACCTTCAGAAATTCTGAGCTGTCGAACTCTTGCTCCACCAACAAGGCGCGAATTGCAGTCGATTGTATATTCCTGCAAAGGATGGCAGCCTGCCGCCCAATCTCTGTTTGATGAAGAAATGCTTGGTAGGACTGTGCCTTCTAGCCATGTCCAATAGTTATCAATTCCATCGGTCTGAAACAGGAATAGTGGATTAGTTTCTTCAATGGACGTCACTTATTGTATCATTCACCAGATTGAAAATCATGAAAAAAACTAATATGAGCATTTGGAGACCAAATGGCAAAATACCTCTACTAGATATTTCTCCTTATAAACCCTAATAGATCACATTCGAATAAGAGTACATGTTTTCGAAAACTTTGTAGCACACAGGATTGTAACAAGTCCCAGCAAATGTGGATAGCTACTATTGGAGTGCTGCAGTTGCAGTTGCACACCTAGAAACCTATGAGTCTGGTCAATAAGACCATTACAGCTTTTTCGACCGATTGACTGCATTCCAGGGTGAGGTGGACCCCTCTCAAAGCGCCTTTTAATCTATATAAATACAAAGTAGGCACTAGCCCACTAGGTTCGATAATATATCCTACAGGTTAAATAGCAATGCCAACAATTCATTCCCCCCATCCTCCCCCTTACCTCGTACAGTTGCTGGCCCGTGTATACTCCTCCTAGATATGTATCCTCGATTAGCTTGGCAATGAGAAAAGCTTTAGGATCACGTTGACCGAAACTAATCGAAAACAAGGCAAGCAAAAAGAGGACGTAAAGAATTATTTCCCTCGATAATTGAAACATTCTTATTTCTCTTTTCTTCTGTTCCCTGGCGTTGTTAAGCTCATCAACGTTCGGTGGTTCCAAAGATATGGACCTTTGATGATCATACCTACTGAACATAAACTTTTTATATTCAGGCGGTCCTTCCTCAAAGTTATCAATACCCAGTTCATCTTCGTCCTCATCTATGTCATCGCCATCTTGTCTATATTTCTCTGTTGTTTCTATGGGTTTTTTTATAAGAAGGGCTATAATTAAAGCGACGAATAAAACTTTGATCGGCTGGCTTATAAAGATGTCCTGGAACAGAGAAACCAGCAGGGAGGCAAGCCACTGCGCTGATTTCTCTCGGCCAAACTGAAAACCATAAAATACAACGAAGAAAGCAGATGTAAATGATACGGCGAAAACTCCAAACCATGCAATGCACGCACACCAGTGAGGCAGTTTTCGTGACTTCTTTCTTTTAAGTGATCCTCCAGGCTTCTCATTGAACTGTACTTGAAAATCGCAGTCTTCAGATGCTTCAAAACTCGCATCATTCTCTAGCCAATCGGCCTCCTCCAATACAGCAAGGGAGCTCTGACTGTCACAACTGTTGACATTCCTATTTAACCAGGCTGCAGTCTTTGCCCCGGTATCGACCGTCTCGACAGGTGGCAACCCCACAGTAATCGATTCGGAGCCCTCACCATTCGCTTCTTCTTCTGCGTCCTGGCTTCGATACCACTCAACTATGTCTTTATTAAAATCACCCTGATATCGCTGTGCACGTTTTTTTCTTTTAGTATTTTGTCCTTTTGATGTCTTTCCCTTCGTTCCTTTTAAAACTGTTGGTTCTATGTTTCTAAAGATGCTTACAATAGCAATATTTATCGGAAATATTATGAGGCCGCTAATCATTCCGATGTAAAGTTGTTGCAGAGAGAGGGTAATGGGTCCTAGCTGAAGTGTATTCGAGGGGTTTAACTCCTCACCAAGTTGGTAGAACATAGCATTGGTTAGCATGGTGCAGTAGAGAAGAGCCAAACAACACGATAGGCGCTGAACAGTAGTGAAGGTGCTCAGTTGCGGTCTCAGAAACACAGAAAACCATAAGTGATTATCTTTGATATTACTTTGCGTAACGTTATGGAACAAATGATTAAAAGATCTAAGTTCATCTTGCTTTGCGGATAGTAAAGTTCGAAGGACTTCCCCATCGTCAAATTCGACGGCGAGCCAACGATTGCACATAAAAACAAACACACCATCGGTCTTCAGATCACGCACTATTATTTGCTTTAGATACCACGATGGGCTGCACCCAGAATTGTTATGCCAAATCGTTACTTTAATTAGGTCTCCCAAATGTTCAGGAGTAGTAAGATGAAAAGAGTCCATTCCTGATCGCTGGAAACGTGTTTGATTAGAGTCTTTAAGTTGGCGTGGACCACTTTCAGCGTCAAGTCCAATTAAATTGCAAAAGACGTCGGCAGTGGTTCCAGCTTCCTTCTTCATACCGGTTAAAACCAGAATTTCGTATTTGTAGCGATCTGATAGGTCGTTATCGGCCAAAGGAATAGTCTCCGCCTGAAAAAAAGAAAAAAAAAATTACAAGAAATCACATCATATCTTCCAATAGAGTTTCTCAAAATTAGAATACTTAGTAAAACGAATCAAAGTCATGCAGAAACAAGTAAATTAAAAGTTGACACTTAAATCAATTAAAATACATACGACTTCATCAGTTCATTTAGTCGATTTTCTTAATCAACGGCCATCTACTAAGATTGACAAAAATCTGCAATTTTTACTTGAAAGTTCTCAGGTGGTGAAGATAGTCAGGGTTATAATTGAAATAAAAACTCGACGCAAAGAATAACCAAAAACAAAAAGCCATTGGGAAGGAATACTAAAAAGCGAAGGAAAGGAACAACGCTTAGCGATTGGGATTAGTAAGCCAAAGTTATCATGTACCTTCTTTTTATTCCGAATATCGCGTCTCCTTGCCCAAATCAACAGCAGTATATAGACGCCTAAGATGGACAGAACCACACTGAAAACCAAATGGTTCTCAGTGAGCTCAACAAATCCTTTCAAGGCTATTTCAAATTCAATGAAATTTGGTTCTACTACCACTTGAGCTGCAAACGACGTGAGATGGTTACAGAGGCACTGAATTTCTCTTGACCTGGTTTCTGGCCCAACCTAAAAGGTAAAACGATAGCCAATTTGTATTAACGAGACTCGAGGAAAGCTATGAGCTTGTTTATTTCCCTTCAAGCTAATCATTGTTTCACAGTGGTACATAGACGTCTAAGATGGACAGAACCACACCGAAAACCAGCATTTGGAACAAGACGTCTTGAAATAGCACATCATGGAATGCGTGTACAGTTCGACCCCGATAATTTGAACTCGGATAATTCGAAGTAAAATTTCATTTCCCTTGGTTTTGCCCCACTTTACTCAGTCATTTTACCTCGGATAATTCGAAATCCCTGCTAATTCGAAGTAATTTCTGTTTCCTTAGGTCGGATTTTATCCCGATAATTCGAAGTTAAGTTACCAGCTGAACGAAAAAGAACAGACGCTGTCGGAAATTAGAATATATATTTATGTAATAACAGTTTCGAACATTTCACAGCTCGTTAATCCCTTTATAATTGTGTAAAACAGTTCTCTGTGCATTAATCCCTTTACTGTATGTGCGGTGCTTTATAAAAGTTATTAACATGTCGACGTGATGAAAATCCATGTGCCTAAAGAGTTGACGAAAAATCCAAGTTTAGTCTTTCAGCTTTGTGAACTCTCTTTCAAGAATACTAACGTATTTCTTCTCTCCTTCAAACAAAAGTTTGCATGGCAATTGCATCCCTTCACCGTCGCCAAGATTAACAGGCATGCCTGTCACAATAACAGTGCATGAATTTCTATTATCCACTCTCAGAAAATAAAAGATTGTCTTAGCGAGTCGTCCACTCTTTCCCTTCTTCAGATGTCCAACAATGGTTTCTTGATCTTGCAACACACATACAGCATATTTGTCCACTGGGTTATGGGCCTCTCTTCTGGTTGAAAGTTTTTCATTCACTTTTGGTTTCCAGATTTCCTGGTAGTCGTGATATGCCTTTATGTAGGAGTTAATCTGAAGCGAAGCATCATTCCTTGGGCAAACCATTATTTAAGCAGAGCTTGATTTAATAAATTCAAAGCCGGTATCTAGCAGTTGAGTGCATGCGTCTAATGACAAGGAAGCGATATGAGTAAACAATACACGCTAAATCACACTTTTAGCGGAAGTGGATCACTTTGTCGGTATCGTTTTTCAATTTAGGCTTTTTACCGAGGTGCTAATTGGCATGTATTTATGTGCTGGAGCTTGTGCGGTTATGCAGGGGTAAACATTGCATATTTATTTTTGACCCCTATAATTCGAACCCCCGATAATTCGAACTATTTTGCTTTTCCCTTGAGACTTCGAATTATCGGGGTCCAACTGTACATACTGTAGAAAGTTACTGATACTAAGGACAGAGCTTTCCTTATTTCTTAGGAGGGAGGGAAGGGTAATTGCACTTCTCGACGTTTTGAGGGCTTATAAATGGTATGTAAAAAAATACTGTTATGACTGAGTTGGCAGAAGTACATTTTCAATGAATTTAAAAAAAATGGAAAGAGGAGTTGTAATTGTTGCAGTAAAGAATAAGAAGCTGTCATGTTTTTATTCGGGAGTGATTTGCATGCCAAGTTCGGCAGTTGTGAGCCACAATTATCTATCAAATAATTGGAAAACGGATGATTTTAAAACATTAGGAAGTTTGGTATTTCAAACTGACATTTTGATCAGCAAATCACACTCACCCTACATCCATCATGATTCCAGCCTTGTATGTTATTATCCCAGTAAAGGCATTTTAGAACAGATATCTTAAGACTGTACGAGACATTGACACTGACATTCTTTTGTGCGGGAGACATTAGAGTTCTAGGTGTTGCTTTTACTCTCAGGAAGTATTTTCCCATTTCTGTGAAGGAACTAGACTCCAAAAGGAAAAACGTTCTCCCCTTATCTTTGAAAGACCACGAGACCAGATTAATCTCAGCTGTTGGCCTTCTACCAGGTGTTATCATGATTTCCCAACTAGACACATTTTTACTACTGGACAAAAACTCTACTGCTACTGCAGCTAGGGGAAAGCTGTAGTTGAAAGTGTGGAAATTGGATGAATCTTCATCCAGTTGAAGAACAAAGGCTTCTCGATCGCTATCAAAACCACGCCATTTGTGATGGATTCGAATATCAATTTCATTCTTTAGACCACTGACTAACAAGTTGCTTCCATTGGTTTCTTTCAGTTCTAAAGCGACCACCGAAGAAGTGATGTTATCGTTGTCGCAGTTTTGGTAAGGATTATCCACGAAAGAAACCATCTGTAATCAAATGAATAAAGGGGGTTAATTTCTAAAGAAACTCTTTACGGTGGCCAATTCACATTTTCAACTCAGTTGACACATTAGATTGTTTGATAATCAAATGAACGCGTCCGAGAATTTCGCACACTGTGAACCCAGACAATTTCGGGTGCAGGAAAGCAACACTCTTCTCAAACGACAGAGACAGTCTTGCAGATTATTCAACATTTGCTAAGAACACACTTTGAGAGATCATGCGGTAACAGCAAACGTTTTAAACGAGAATTCGTCATTAAGATAAGAAAACAAGTAAAATGTGTTTATGAAGTTCAAGCATCATGACGGCTATAGCATTGAAATCGAAAGGAAAACGAGAAGAAACAATTTTTTTGAAGTTCATCGCGTACTGATGTTAATCTAATTTTGTTCTAAATGTTGATTCAAACAAAATCGTACATTGCCTGGTAATATGGCATACCTGAAGGCCTAACGTGTTCTCACGCGTATGATTCGTATCTGGAAACAATTCGTCTTTTGGTAGTGTGAACTTTCCAAGGTCCTGGACGATCGTAAGGTTATTGATGAAACTCACGAGTGTCTTTTGAAGTTTCGCTTCTATTGCTGTGGTGTTAATCACTGTGTATCCATCGCCAGGAGTTTTGCTCTTTAAGATAGCTTCGCACATGTTGTTTATCGCTTTCAGGATTTCTTTGGAAGCATTTCTGCTCCTTTCCTTTAAGGAGAACACATTTTTGAGATATATTTTACACACTTTGCAAGCAAGAAAACCTATAGAAAAGTTAGCTGTAACAGGTTTAAATTTTTTTTTTTTTTTTTAGTAGAAGGCTAGCCAACGAAAGAAAATAAGCAGACATAGAGAAACAAGAAAAAAAAAACAAACAAACAAACAAACACACAATTAAAAACATGAAAAAAAAAAGGCATCAACAGCCTTAATCGTCACTGTAGAATCTATTTTTGAAATTATTTCAGTTTAATCAATTTTGAATGTGAAGAGCAAAGGATAAATTGTTTTATTTCAGGAGCTCAACATTTATCATAGTTTAAAGAAATGCTGATTGCAAAGAAATCAAAAGAAACCTGCTTGGATTGTAAACCAATTACATATGTTCCTTACCTTTACTAAATCATCGCAATCATGTATTGTACCATCACGACTTATGGAAGGGCCCCTTGCTAAGCTTCTAAGCATGTTCACTGCGCTTCTCATAATTGTTGCTGCCATCCGCTCAAGGAAGGACAATGGTGCATCAGGTCTATTTAAGACAGCTTTTGTTATCTCGCTCAGCAATCTCGCACTGTCGTCCTAGGATAGAGAAAAAGAAGTGTTAACTCAAAATCTATTCCTTAAAGTAAAAATAAAAATTGCACAATTTTCTTAAATAAAAAGTGCGCGAAAATAAGTACACGAGCGATCGGTAATCCATCTCTCCCTTTTGTGGTGGGAGGAATAAGAAAGCAGCCAGGCTGCCTGTCTTCAAGATGAATTTAGGCATGACTATTCGATGTCAAAAACTGTTTATGTCTTTTATCAGGCTGATACCACTCTCTGGTCAATCGCCAAAAATAGCACCCACAATTTTGCAGCTGGTCAGGAGTTATGTTAACGTTTTCATGAAGTAATTAGGCGAAGCTAAATAATAATAAATAATAATAAGTAATTAACCAACCTGCTCCAAATACATAAAAGGGGTAACTTTAAGCTTCAAAAGCAGCTAGGTACAGTAACAGATATCTTGATAATTAAAAGCTAAATTTGTATTTTACCCGTGCAGTTAACGTCAGCATATCTGTATTGGCTGTGGCTGTCTCAAGGGTATCACTCAGAACAAGAAAATCACTAACAGTTGTTTTATTGCTTTTGGCCACAATGCTTGCGACAAGGGATAACTTCGATATACTCTTCTCGATGATCTGGAATAAAGATAGTAAATCAAAATTTTTGAAACAGTAGCAGAATCACACTAGATTAGCCAAATACATGGGTTAATAAAATAAAAATATAGATCGGCCTTCTGCATATTTTGAAAAGGACCTTGGATCCAATCAGAATAGTGTCTCATCGTTTAATTCACGATGTGGTCACTTATGATGTGAATGGCGACGTTTCAACTGCATACTGCTAGTCTTTATCAGGTGATAAGGTTGATCTTATCGCCCGATGAAAACTAGCGGTATGCAGTCAAAACATCGCAACTCACCTCATAGAGACAAACGATAAGACTTAAATATTATTGTATTTTACCTCGATGAAGCGCAACTTTTTTTTTTTTTCTTTTTTTTTCCGAATTAAGGTTACTTCCTACCTTGAGAGGCCGAAAAAGTCGATTTTTTTTTGGACTAGATTCAAGTTACACATTTTAACTTACGTTTACGAAAAAAAAATTAAAATCTCAAAAAGCGTCCGAATTATTTACAAAAACGTATTTTCAAATAAATATATCTTATTAGACTTTTGTTGTGTAGTATCGCTGAGTATCTTTTCGAGTTGTGCCGTATTTTGACGAGCCTGTAGGCGGAGTCAATTTACAAATAACGAGTAAAAATACTTAGCGATACTACACAACAAAACGTGTAATAAGTTATTTATTATCCAACACGCCAAACTGTTATTTCAGTGCGAGCGAATTTCGCGGATGTTTATTTACGGGGAGTGCGTGACAGAAGTATGCGAAGCGGAACGGAACTGGCGCGTTGTCGTGTTGCTGTTTCTATTTTCTTCAATAACTGAAGAAATTTCCAGGTCGTCTAGCTGTTTTTCTTCGTTNTCCTCGGCATCCGCTGAAGATCGGCAGCATTCGATTATCCTTGGGGCAAGCAGCTTAAAAATTAAAGTCAACACCACAGTTTGTAAAATAATTTGAATATATCAACAAAGTTGAAATGGTAAATTGGCCGCCGTTACGATTATAAAAGCTGACGTTTCGAGCGTTAGCCCTTCGTCGGAGCGAAAAGTTGTAAACACCACAGGTTGTAAACACGATTCTTCGTCGGAATCTGACGAAACCGATGGAGAAAAAGAATAATGCGACAGATTTACCCTTTCTTCCGCGGGTTTTTCCTTCGCCGACTTCGTCCAGTACTAAACGATTAACAGAGTGAGATAAAAAAAACGTGACTGCTACGCGATACTTTTCCCGGGAAAACCTTGATCCATTGTCATTGACGCTACGAGGCCTCGTCTTCTCATTGGTTTGTGGTTTCAAGAGGCAAGATAATCTCCTGGAGTGGCGCTAGTTGTTTACAAACCTTTAGGAGCTAAAATCTCGCATTTGATTTTGAGAGGAATACATGCACTTTGAGCGAATTTATAGGGTATGTAGATTTGACCGATTTTCGTAAAATTTCGCCAACACATTCCTGGGATGATTACGAACAAAAGAGTGTCAGGATATTTTGATACTTGAAATATTTTTTTACGTAGTGTCCATTTACGCAACACGCTTCGCATATCTTTCGCTACTCTAACTTCAGATGCGAATATCTAGACAACCAATCAGAATATCGGAAAAGCCTGATACGCTTTTCTTGATTTATGCCTTGTGAATGAGACTGTGCAGCCATTTTTCTCGTGCCGCGGGATCCGATACCCGATAAATTCAATAGAAAGACCCTTGGTCGTTTCACACCGTACCGGCTCATGGCACTTCCTAAATGAAAAAATCGCCTAAATTATATTTTTATTGTAAACTGCATTTATTAAGCTTTGTTCAGTAATGTATAGTTTGTTAGGGTTTTCTTCAAACTAGCGCGCGTACGAGTTTTTTCCCGAAGGACATCCGCGAAGGTAGGAAGTAACCTAAAGACCTTGGATATTTAGGTAGGCTGCAATTTTAAAGTAAATGCTACTCGATCTCGAAAACTCTAGATCTTGAATGCACAAAGGCTAAAAGAGTGCGGGAGTGTCTTGCCTAAGGTCATAACGCAACGACCCAGCCAGAGATCGAACCTGGAACTTTAGCGCACTCTTTACCGGCGCAGCTCCCTATTCAGGAAAAAAAATCGACCATCAGCGAGCACATGCGGTTGATTAGCAAACAGAGGCCATGACAACAACATATTCGATAGAGCTTACTGTGGCGTATTGTATCTGTTCTGGTGACATTGTTGGCCGTGGGGTGGTGGCTATAACTTCTTGAGATTGGTCTCCTGCCTCCATTCCTTTATCATTCTGCTGCTCGTCTTCCTTGTCTCCATTTTGGTTGACTGTTGGTCTACTTGTTGTCACTGCATTTGACACCGCGGTTTTTGAAACAGAATTCTGCTGACTGGAGAGCTGGAGCTGCGCTAAAGTGTCTCCCAAGACTTGTAATTCCTCTCCAGCTTGCTCCTCATTGTTTATAGGTGTACTTTCAGAATCTATGTTATTTATTAGACTTCCCAGATCTACTGCTGCCTTCTCTGCCTTTTTTACCTAAGTGCAAAAATTAATGAATAAATAAACGCATAAAATATGTCTTGAAAATCTGATCAGATGTGTTGATTATATGAGCACAGCTGTAGACTAAATAGGTATAATTAAACAACCAGCAAACTAATCAGTCAATAAATATAGAACCCCTAATTAGTGGGTATAAACTGATTATCAACTCCTTGTTAACCGAGTGCGATAGCCAGCCACACTGAGGAATATTGGTCCGGGGTTGTACGCGTGGTAGCACGGCAAGCGAGATTAGCAAGTAGTCTGTTATATGGCACTCGGACCAAAACTTGTTTATTTTCAATTTACCGGCTTTCGACAACAAAAATACTCCGCTGATGACCTTTTCCGTGGAAAAGGTCCGGATGGCAAAATCCCGACGAAAGTAAGAACCAAATAGAACGCCTGGATTAACTGGTGACTGCCATGCCATATAACAAGATGCGTCAGTTAGCTGCAAAAGTTATGTCTCTAACTCAATATTTTTCAGTAGCTGGGTCAAATATGGCAATGAAAAAAATAAAACAAAATTTACGACTAAGTAAAATTTACCTAAAACTTAAAAATTACACTATCTTACCTCTGCTAAGACAGACATGGTAGACCTCATTCCGAGTGAATCTTCAACTGATACTGTAATTCTTACGAGAATTGAATTATCACCATCTGTTGGCTGTTTATAAATCTTAAAAGGTTTTGAGGAGCTAGGGTTTTCTGTGGAAGTCAAAACTGTCTTGCCATCGCCATAACTAAAGCTATATCGGAGTGGTTTGTCTGGATCAATCCAGCTATCACATACGACCTGAAAGTTTGTTTTGTAGCCCTCACCCAGCGACGGAATACACGAACAGTTGCCTGGTATTGGCGGCTCATTAACTGTTATAGTCTTGTTGGAAAAGCCCCTTTGACCGCCGTCTCTCCAAACTTCAACTTGAACAAGACCCTCACCTCCCTGGCCCAGAATATTTTCAAAAATGTAAGAGTGGACAATGAAGTCATCGTCATCGGTTTCTACGTTTAACTCGCTTGGAAACTCCAGCGATTTAAATTCAGTTTCCATTTTAATGAAAAACTGCCATCGATAAAACAGATTGGAGACTCCACATCCGTGTACACAAACAGCCTTAAGTCTGAGATTCACTGACGGGGAAACTTTACGCGGACAATCGCTATATAGGCAGCTGATAAATTAAGAAAAACAAAACAGTAGTTACATGTACTTAAAACAAAATACCTATAATAAATTTTTAGGGCTACCCATTCTCTACGACAAAAAAACTGCATGAGCACTGAATATAAGCAAAACTATTGAATGTCATTTGGACAAGCCAATTTCCTAATCTTTGCAGCATTTTGAAGCTCACAGGTGGCTGTGATAAGGAGAGAATAAAATCAGCAGACACAAAATACATCAAAATACGAAAAACGTGTAGGGCAATAATTGTTCCAAAAGTTGGAAAAGTAGGTTAAAATCGGTGTAATTAACTTCGAAGCCCTATGCATTCCAACATTCAACAATAATGAGGTAGATAATGATATGATGAAGTGTTGTTAACTATTCATGTAAGATCAAAAGTTAGAGGGAGAAGTTCATCAGACTGAATGATTCGTATACCATCAATAAGCCACTAAGATGTGGCTAGAATTCGATATACAAATATTATACATCACCACGAAACATAGAGAGAGAGACTCTATTTTTCTCTTAATAGCACTTAGTACAGACGATAATTCATTAGAAAAATAGGGATATGTCGCGACTGCTATAATTACTCCTGTACCTTTCCAGGCTACGTTTTGCGAAAAATGGTAAGTTATCGATTGCAACACTTTTGTACAATATTATCAATCAATCCTTGTACGAATAACATAACGAAACAAAGTAGTCAATTAGAAATATATTACTCTACATTTACCAACAACGTACCTTATTTCCATTGTTGGCGGCGGAGGGGGTGGCGATGGAGGTGGAGGTGAAACAAACACTGTAACATTGTCTGTCAAAGGTGGGAGATCATACTTCGTAACTACGACCGTGAATATGTAATATCTATTTTCATGGTAGCTGTTCAGTCTTGTGGTGAACTCCGCGTAAGAAAGAATTCTAATGAAGTTTTCAGGCTTCAACGCATCGTCATAGCAGTGAACAAAGTGTTCAGCCTGAGCAAGCGGACCTACCGGTGTCTTGCAATACCAGTAATAGACCATACCCTGTTGGTCCATCGTTGGTGGCAGATCAGGGTCATGAAATGATGCAACCAACCTTAGGGTGTCTACCGTGCTCAGATTTAGTTTCTTTTCTCCGCTTATTTCGCCAACCAACGGAGAACGAACGATTTGCACATTGATCGAGTAATTTTCTGCCACTTTCCCATAGAGTTTAATTACATCGAGGCTTACAAGCTCGACAACAAATTGAAATTCATAGCTACCGTACTGCAAAGAACGAGGACCGATTTTTAATACAGAACCAGAGTCTTCTCCCTCAACCTCAGGCTCCTTGCTTTCAGATGTTTTTCGCTTTATTATCCATAGAAGCTTGATATTCTTTGAAGTCGGTAAAAAGCAGCCGTTGATAAAAATCCCTTGAAGCTCAAAGCTATCAGATCTTTTGTATTTCAAAACTTTCAAGCTATTTCGATATGCGTTGGTTCCTTCTTTCCTCGCCGATATCGAAACGTTTTCTATCTTACAAACTGGTTTTGAGACTTCAACCCCCAAGCAACGTATTACTTTTGACACCTTGTTGAAAACAACGAGACAAACCGTGTAATTACCCTCGAAGAGATAGGTGTGGTTACACGAAAAAAAGTAATTTCTTGTTTTCCCCTCTGAGCACTGGGATTTCTTTGTGTTTAATGAGTCGTTCAAGGTAAGATTAAAACAGCTTCCGTCATCAAATTTTGACAGGGTGAATTCAAAGCGAGTAGCACTCCTCAGCCAAGTGAAACCACTAGACCGGAGTATTATGCCGTTAATCTTTTCTTGCACAATGAATCTAACTGATGCTGCCATTGTGGCGACCAATTTATCTACAAGGACACTAGCCGTGAATGTTCCAGTTTTGTTTAAAACTACTTTAAGAAAGTGATGTTCGGTTGTCGTAAGATTGCCATATTCTGTAATTCTCCAGTGATACGCCCTGTCGAAGCTTTGAGATGATACCGACAACGTCACTGTGTCACCAAGAGCGAAATATTCAATGAATGGATTCCTCTTTAGGTCCGAAAAGTGGTCACAATCGAGACAAATTGTCATAGCCGGCTCGATCAATTTGAGAACCGTGACATTCGTCTTGAGCTCAATTCTACTGACTTTATTCGAGCAGGAGACCTTAGCTGTGAATTCTCCCGGGGACATATATCTATGAAGTGTGGTGTGTTCTCCTTCCGTAAATATCAAAGGTATGTCAGTTGTATACGAATTGTTTTCGAATGACCATGAACAAGCGGCATGGCTGGGCTGGAAGTCTCTCGAAATTGTTGTCGTAAGGCGGAAGGCAACAAGGTCTGATACTTGAATGATGTTCTTGTCAGGTGTCAAAGTTATATTAGCCAGAGGATTCTGCACAACAACGATGGGTGTGCAATTTGTGGTGAGGCTTCCGAGGAGGTTAGCTGCCTTTACCATTACGGAATAAGACCCATTCGATGAGAAGGAATGTTTCAAAATAAATGATTTCCAGTTTAGGAAACTCTCCTGAAATATGACACTTTGTCTTTGATCATTTTCAAATTCCGCCACAGCGGTTACTTTAGAGCCTGAATGAACAGAAATGTTAAAAAGAGTCTCTTGCGATACCATGATGTAGTGGTGTAACGAGGTACAAGTTAAGTGAGCAATAGGTATTTGCACCCAAGCAACGATGTGGGCTCTTACAATGCCGTGTCGAGTTTTGCAACTAACAATTACGTCAAAAGGTCCTTCTTTAGCATATTGATGTAGGACTTTTTTACCTATGTCAGATACATCTGTCTGGAAAGTTGTGTTGTCCCCGAGGTTCCAGTCACAAACAAAAGCCGTTCCGGAAGACATCAAGAGTGAAATCACAGACTGATGCCCTTTGGCTGTGGCAGGGACCATTACCTGCAGGTCATCTATCGGTTCATCTTTTTGAACTATGATCCTCCTTAAAGACTCTTTGTACATACTGCTAACACTGTTCGAGCAATTGAGACTTACAGTGAAGATTCCTGGTTTGCTGTATGCATAAGTTTTGCTAAAAGAGTCGACTTCTCCAGTTAAAACTTGTTCCCCAAAGTCATAGTGGCAGAGGACACTAGTCCCTCTAGTTAGACTTCCTACTACCGTAATGCTCTCATCGACTGCAATATATAGGTCTTGAGAGCCAATTTTTATTCGAGTTACTGGTATTTCCAAAGTCAGGTTATCAATCGGATCTTCTACGGAGACGGTGCATTCTACAATTTTCGGAGTATCTTCAACAGCGTTTTTAGCTCCAATGGAGACAATGTACACGCCTGCACTTGTATAACGATGAGCAAATGAGTTTTTGAAAAAACCATTAGTAGATGTGTGTAGAGTGTGTTCAGCGCTGCCATCGCCAGGAGAAATCGTAAAAGTCACATTTGTTCCTGCAGGTTAGAGATCAGTATTAGTGTTGTTCAATAACATGTTATACTCTTCTCATTTCACAAAAGGCGTGGTTGGTACCTTTAGATGGAAATTAAGACAAAACAAAAACAACTAAAAGACAAAAGGAAGGAGTATGCCCGCGTAATTCACTACAAAAAATGAAAAAAAAAAAAAAACCTGATTTACCTTTAGAAATAACCCATTCGACTACTGCCTCTTCCATTGGAACAACTGCAACAGTACTTTGGACGCACTTCAGGCCTTTAATTTCATCTTGCACAATAACAATGGTGCTACTATTAACCGTGTTGTTCCTGTTATATGCTGTAACGTGAATGGTGTAAGCACCAGGGTGGTTGTAAACATGGAAAAAAACCTTCTGAGTTTTAACCAGTTCTTCGTTTTCAAGTTCCCATCGATATTTGACTTTAGTTCCATCATGTGGTCCGACACGAACAGGGAATAATTTAGATGTCTTGACTATGTGTCCATCCTGAAGGATAATACTGAACTGCGAGATTGGTATGTCTAAGAGGAGAAAAAAAAATTCAGACAAAAAAAAGATCAGGTTAGGACGACATTCCAATATATCTTTGATTTCTCTTAAGCATCTTTTTTTTTTTTTTATTTATAGATTTTATCCATTTTCGGAAATCCCCGAAGTATCTACAAGTAAAAATCCTGCTTTGCTAATGTGAGCTACATAGGAGGAGCTCTCTTTTCTTCCTGTCATTCATTGCTATCAGGCGAGCGCACAAAGTTTTTCTCTTGTATTACAGGACGCGTCATGTTGACTTCTTTCAACGAATATTCACACGACCGTTCACACATTTCAGGAGTGTGACGCATGCTCATATCAGCGCGCAAAGGCTCGCATCAAAAACAATCGGAAACAGATTTTTCAATAACAGTTTTAACGAGAACTGGCACGTTGTCTAGTGGTATCCAAAGCCGCGTAGAAAAAAAACTAATTAAATAGGCTCCATTATGGAGGTTTATTCTTAACCTGTTATCGTGTTTTCTATCTTAATTTTTTAAAGAGATTATATCGTAATCATCATTTCATTTACCTCCTATAATCTGCTCTACTGAAGTAGTTGGAGGAGGAGGTGTTGTCGTTGGTGGAGAAGTCGGATGGTCCAGTCCACAGGCCTGATACATTGGCCGACGAGTGTCGTAGTCTATCAAATTATTTAAATGGAGTTTAAAATTGAATATCTCGATTTTCTAACTTTCAAATAGTCCTTGAGAGGAATGATGTAAGATATTTGAAGGGTTAGGGTAATTAGTTCAAGTTTTATCTCGTAAGACCTTTAACGTTTTGGCAATTAATTGTGACATTCTAGATGAGTGCTAGCAGATATTGCGCAGTATCGGAAGAACAGCATGATTTATGCTTGACTAAGCTAAACTAAAACAACAGCAACAATAACAAAAAAAAACAAAGCAACAAAGAAACAAACACAAAGGAAAGAAGAATTGATGACGGAATGAATACGAAAATAGAAAACAAACAAACAATAAAGTAAAGAAGCAAAAAAAAAAAAACATTTTCCGCACGAGCTCTTGTGTTTGTCTCTCCCAACAGGGTTGACGTGGGCCGGTTCGGCAAAAGCTCCTACAGCTTTGTTGTTGCAAAATGAAGAAAATATTTTTTTTAAGTTGAGCTAAAAGGAAAACAGAAATGAGAAAATAAGTTGTTTCTCACGATGAACTGTGACTCTCTTGTTCTGACTCGAAAAATTAAAGAAAAATTTTCCTATCGTAGGATATTTTAGTGATTGTCCCGCATACGCCATTTATCGCGTCAAATTTAGGTTAAAACAAAATTTTTCGAAATTATCGACACTTCTCGTTCACAATACATGGACCTCGCCGCGGTCAGACCGTACGTCAAAACAAAAACCCGAACATTTGCCCCGCCGGCCCTCTCATTCAGTAAATAACTACTTGGCATTTCCCGATGACGAATGTTCGAGGACGACAGATTGTTTAGATTTAAAATAATTCAATGCTAGATTCAGCTTCCGCTTTTTTTCTTTTTTTTTTTTTTTTTTTTTCTTTTTTTCTTTCCACGTTACCCGCTGACCAAGTCAACCTTATATTTGGCCCCCTACCTTTATCTGGGTTATATGGGCATCCGTAGATCTCAGTTCGTAAACAAATGCTGTTGTTCCAGGTTCGTGGATTAATCCGAATGTAGCTTGCAAAAATCGAATCCAAATGAAGAACAAAAATTTTCACAGTTTCGCTGTTTTCGTTACCTTGAAATATCTACAAATTAAAATGCAAAAGCATTGTTTATGTAAAGCATAATTTATATAAATTAGCTGCATATGTTGGGGCTTTATCTTATGCTAGCCAGCGCAGTAACACTCTCTTTACCTCGACTCATTCTAAAATTGATTCACAAGCTGTTTCAGTCCCTCGCTTGATGACGATCCAGGAGATTTATACATGAACTAGCTGCATATGTTAAGACCCTAATTTTATGATAGCTCGCGAGGCGAAATTCTCTTTACTGCGATTGATTGGAAAGCTGTCTCACTAGCTTTTTTTGGCCCCTACCTGAACGGTGAGGAGATTTACACGGTAGGTAACTCAACAGTAATACTTAGTTTATACCTTGTGACCAATTTCCGACCCATAGCAGTACCATTTGTTCCCATCGGTGCTATACTGAACGTAAAACATTTCAACCCATGAGTGTCCATATCGGCCTTGTAAACCAATAGCCATGACAAATCTTTTTTCCTGGAGATCCACTTCCAACCATTGTTCTTGGTCCTCTACAGCGGCACACCAGGAGCCAAAATCATATTCGTTTATCAGACCATCTTTAGCTGGGAAGTCGTTTAGGGATGTAGAGGCATTAAGCTGATCTGGGTTGATGGAAAAAAGTACCGGCCGACGACATTCTGTTGTAAAAATAAGAAATGAACAATCCGCAGTGTTTTCGGCCTAGGTAAATCCAGGACACAACCAAGAGCTGCAGACATTATTTATCACATGTGAGGATATTTAGCGAGAAATATCAGGACAGATGGACACAAAAACATCAAGGCGGCTATTACCGCCAAATTAAATTTCCCTTCTGTCCAATAGTTAAAAGTATTTCTTTCAGCTCTTTTGTAGGAAAGTACGAGTGCAATTTCCAATGGAGACTTTCTTTCATTTGCGCTCAATAAGATGGAATACTGTTTTCTAAAATGATCTCCCACGCGTAAAAAAGGAAAAAAAAAAAAAACATCAATAGGAATACAATGAAACAACGTAACGGTCGATATAATACAATAATTGCTATTGACGCGTACAAGTGCGAGTTTCGCGAAGCACACAACAACATTTTCCGTCCGAAGCATAAGCTATATATTTGATAAAAGCATATTTGGGTGTTCTTTTCGCTCTTTAAAGTAGTAATTTTGATGTCTCAGGTTATACTATGCTTGCTCTACCATAGCTGGCTAATCCTCGTTGAACAAGAAGAAGAACATTATGAACTACGTGATTTTCACGCCAGTTTTTATTGGCACGCATCGGTGGTAAAGAAATCTCGAAGGCTCTTTGATGACTGTTAGTGCCCGTCTTTCCTCTCATTTCCTCTCCAGGCGCCCAATTTTTGATATAATATTATGATTCATAATGATGCGACCAAGGCAATCATTTCAAGTAATCCAAAACGATTCTTAAGAGCTGCTATAGTTACTTTGCAATTTTTTTCTTTCCTTTTTTTTTTCCTTCACCCTCTGATTTTCTTAACTTAGTATTCCTGAATCCGTTTCCAGAGTTTACAAATATGGAACTTAAGGAGCCCTGCTGTCTCTTGATAAAGATAAACAACCTTATTATAAAGATATTTCCTTCTTTCACCTCAGTGCAGATAAACGAGAACGCAGTATTTCCTTTCACTATAATTCCGAGTTTATTTCATCGAATTTTCTTTTGACTTTACATATAGAATTCTTTTTAAAATCAGGAATAATTTTTTATCGATAACGCTGTCTCAAAAAATTCCAAGCACATAATTTGCATCGCATGGTGGAATTGCCAACTAAACAGTTTTGTCCATCAATCGATTTTCAAAGTATGTCATTTATTCATCTCAGATGAAACCATTCAAGTTTTGAAATCTTGTTAGCCGACATCATATTCAAATTTGGTGGTACTTTCTGCTCAGATATGAAACCGTTATCTCGTCAAATTTTCCCACGAAGGTATTTTTCCATCAGCAGCTGATCGTCCCTTCATTAGAACCACATCATAATAGGATTTAAGGTGCTCTATTTAAGAGAAATACGATTATTGTAATTGTTAATTGAAATAGGTACTTCGGAATAAGCCTAAAAACGTGATCTCTTTCGCCTTGCCTTTGTGTGAAGGCGCAAAATACGTGCTGGCCTGAAAGCAAAATTTTGTAGTTGATACTTGACAGTTGAATTAATCTGGCGATCAAAGGGGGCTCATATGACTAGATATGCAGAGGAAAGAAAGAAGGAAAAAAAAAAAAGAATTGACAGTCATTTACCTTTGGTCCCTGATGCTACTCGAACCTGAATGATACCAAAAGCAATCGAAGCCAATATCTGCAGAAAAAAAACAAAGACTGTTTATTTGATTCTCAAATAGTAGTGATCACTTCAGTATATGCACAGTTCATTTAACGTACCTGGATTGTGATTTTATTCATATCTTGTTTTGAGAAAAATCCATGCTTATATTCTTTTAGCCGAAGAGATCACCTTATTGCACACACATTTCTTTCCCACCACGTATTTTTTTGAGGCATCCTATGTTTATAATCCGCAACGATATAATTCCGCTGGTTTTCGACCAATAGAGAACATTTATAAGGGCGGTTACATAAATCTTTAATAATTTTCCCCGCAGCTTTCTTAGCAAGGAAACTGTTACTTAATCACGTAATGTCTGTCACCTTGATCTTCATGAAAAAGCAATGGAATGTTTCAAACTTAATGGGAGATTTCATTTTCTTTTCAAACACTTAAAGAGAGCCTTAATAATAAGGTGAAGTGGTCGCTATTCCATCGTAGCAGAATAATCAAATCAGAGCTAGTTTTCTTTAAAAAGGCGTATAAATTGATGATAAGATTATAACAAAGCATCTAATTGAATGGTTTGGGTTAGATTATTTCAGGTCTGTCATGCGGTATTTACGTATACGGAGAGGTCTTAATCATCTTTGATATGATGCTTATATGGATTCAATCAAAAGTATTTAATTCGAAATTATCTTGTGTTAGAAGAAGCTAAATATGCAGTACAACATCTTGCTCAGTAAAGCTGATTACAATTAATGAACTTGATGACAATTAATTAGGGACTCAAACCGCTCAAATAACTGACGTATCCTTTATTGTTCAAAGCAATTAAGAGACAACTTTAATTTAGTATGTTGGAACAATGATGAAAAACATAAAGCACTGTTATGCGATACTTGCAAAAACAGGAAGACATTTCGGGGAAAAAAAAAGGTATTTCTTTATCGATATCGAAATTCTAAAAATAAAAACAAAAAAAAAAACAAAACCAAGAATATATTTTCTAACCGGAGTGATAAATTTAGTAAATAATCCTAACCAGTGTTCTCACAGAAGTTACTGAAAAGAAGAAGCACGAGGCTCGAATCGGTATTAGGAATCTACAATTTGTTTAATCGCAGACCGCCTTTGTGAATCAATTCGCAATTCGTTACCATCCACGGCCAATATCTGATTTACTTCATTTGCGTGTAATAATTAGTTTACTTTAGCCTTTTCAGACTTCTTTTTATTAAATCAAATTATTGCATCGGGGATTATTTTCCTAGTGTCTCGAGATAATAACATCATGTTCATTTAATTGGTACCTTGAGCCGAAGATTGTTTGACGAAGTGATAAAACTTGTACCAGAAATCCGAAGGTAAAGGGCTAATGAAGAACACGGTATCAACGTTACAAATTCGTTATCAAATATTTTCAGATATATCACGCTGTTATCAGGAGCAAGAGTTCTCCCTTTGATTGGAGTCTCCTGTGTACTAGCGGTTGAATCACACAGAGTTTGCAAGATTAAAAATTAATGAGCTGTGAAACATATCCATCTTGTATCGTTCAAGGTCGGCACTTATAACTGTGTCTTTCCTGAACTGCTCCTCTAACAGAAGCTTGGACGCCGGCTTGTCTTCCCTAACAGTTCAAGTTCAACTTTGAAACTCAAAGGTAGCCCTATATAGCCAGAAGAAAAACAAAACAAAAACAAAACAAAAACAAAAACAAAACAAAAACAAAACAAAAACAAAACAAAAACAAAACAAAAACAAAACAGAAACAAAACAAAAACAAAACAAAAGCAAAACAAAAACAATACAAAACAAAGAAAACACGAAACAAAACAAACTAAAATAAAACAGCCAATATTTGTCCCAATGCGCCAGTTTTGTTTTTTTTCCCAAAAGATACCGGAGAGATTTTCAGAATAATTTGTTTAAATCTACTGGGTGATAAATATTTCTAAAGGCTGGAACGTACTTAAATGTGACAACATATACTGACCTTCGTAAAGAATTGAAAATTAAAAACAAACAAGGAGCTTGTAAGGGACATTCTTGCTCTCAGACCTTTGGATTGCGCGCTCCGATGCTCTACCACTGAGCCACAAAGACTCTATGGTGGGCTCAAAATTCACCATACTTCTTATTCTATTTGTCAAAAGCATGACGCTATCGACATTGCTGATCGTAGCAGTATGCAGGACTCGTGTGATACATGAACTTCTGTGTTCCTCTTGGGGACTCAGAATTTTTCTTTGCCCCACGCTCGTTACAAGACGAGAAACATGTTTCTCTAATTTCCGCTGTTTTACTATAGTAAATGATGAACCAAATACCAGGCCAGTTGACAAAGAGTGAGCTCCTCCACCCGTTATCTTTTACTTGACTGCATACTGACTGACTGTTAACATATACCCTGCTCGAGACAATAGGTAAAGGAAGGCAAAGTTATTATTTTTTTGTTTTTGCAATTGTCATCGATTCTTTCTTTTTACATCATCTATGTAACAAGTTGCGAGACATGAGAGCACGTGCACGCCTGTTGCATAATGTTCTAAGACTTCTAAGTTGTGGTCATGTATCGACTGAATAAACTTCTCTTCAAACCCCAACTCGTATCGTTTTCTTGTTACAATCTACTAAGCAAATCATTCTTTGTGAAAATTCCACTTACTTTTATATGTAATTGATAATTTCAAGTGTCTTTGTTCTTGCCTCCCCATCTCTGTGAAATCGTTTCGAAAGTGTAAGTTTATATCTACAGGATGTGACGTGTATCACCTCGTCGTTACGATATTGGATATTTTCTTGTGATTGGGACAACATTATTCACGTCTTCCTATTTACCTCTCTTCCATTTATACCGTTCGCCACCTAGCGGATCTTTTTCCAAAATCTGCAGATGCCTTCAGCTGGTGTGAACCTTACATGATCAAGACTAGATTCCATTATTCGGCATCCAAGGTGGTTAATATTTCGTTGCACAAGCTTAAATGCTGTATTGGGTTTCTGCTAGCTTGCCTTAATCTCCACGCGGTCTCGCCATTTATTTGTAAAATCAAATGTTGCATTAACATTTTGGGCTTGTGCCGCTATCATAACGAGCAGCGCAGAAGCATAGTCAACAAAGTTCGCTATATTGACAATGGTTGGAGGGATCTGAGGGTTTCAAAGGTATTCAGTTAAAAGAGCTTCAACTCACTAACACTTTATGTGCGATCGGGGGATTAAACGAGCGCTGAAAAGAGTTCTCGATGACATGAAGATTGTTAGTCGATCGGGAGTCAATGAGCCTTACCTATGAAAAAAAAACCGTCATGAGCATGACAGCGGCAAGTCGAAGATCTGCAGTAGATGCTTCTCGCAGGAATTCTCAGAAACAGTGAATAATTTTATAATTGTGTGGTTTCCGGTATTGTCCTTGTTAAATTTGACTAGCGTATTTTAATTCGTCTCTTGGCTTAAGAAATCGACTCGGTCGCTCAGAGTGCGCGCTTCGATTAAGAACTTTTAGACACTGAAGTGCCTCTTGGTTGTTAACAAGGTTATAGAATTGAAACAGATTTTGTTACAGGGAAGATTGATTAATTGTTCACCCAACCTGAAAATTTGGAAGGTATGCAGTCTTTCAGAAAAATCGCCGCCTGATATCACCTTCCCCCGAATCCCTTACGGTTTCAAAATGGCGGACAATCGTGAAACCTTCCTCAACGTCTGTTGTGACTCATCTTGGTTCAGGGGGCCGTTTCTCGAAAGTCCCGGTAACTTAACGGGCCCGTAAAGATGGGGATTTCAAAAGTTTTGAGAATGATACAATAAAACTATCAGCTAGAGAAACAAAAAGGACTGGTTTATGTGCCAGAACCCGATTTCCTATCCCTTAACTTTTGATTTTGAAACATGACTTCGGGCGCGTTAAGTTACCGGGACTTTCGAGAAACGGGCCCCAGAACCGACACTGGCCAGGGGCAGGCAGTGTGCGCACTCCGATCGCATTGCATTGAGGTAGCGTTACTTAGAATATGGCGGTAAAAGCGGCAGAAATTGGCTGATTTTGACCGAACATTCCGTGAAAGTTAGGCCGTTTCTTTATCCTTTCACTATAGGTAAATATAATTTGATATAATCTGATTGTGTAGAAGTATTTTCCGTACGTATTTGTAGCGTATTCTATCGGTCTCAAGGACAAACGCAAGCACTGTTTTTTAGTATGTAATTCGAGACCGGTTTTCGAGAAGGTCAAATTCGTTGTACGTCGTAGTTTGAAGCCGTTCAAAGATTTGTATGGCCACTTTGATCCTTCTTCAACAGCTCTGACCAAACGCGCCCAAACGCACTCCAACGGTACAAATGTTTCATGCATTTTAAGCGATAATGTTTGAGACCCTTTTATACAGCGAAAGGGCCCATTGTTGCGTTTAGGGTGTTGCGTTACATAGCGTTACTACTGCAAGGACTTTTGCTATGTTGTTTTCAATCGTGTTGTAAATCTACTTTCCTAGGTGAAGGAAAACGAACTAATTGTGAGTGTTATGCGATAAGTCTTCCATCTTGATCATTGAATGAAAAACAGTTTAGAGCAATGAAAAGAGTCACTTCTTGGTGCGTGAAAACCTCTACCTTGCGCGAGGCGACACGCCGGAAAGCCACAAAGCAAAAGGCAGTCGACCGTTAAAAGGTGCTGATAGGCCTGTGTCTCTCATACAATTCGCTAGCGCCTTTAAATCTTCAACCCTCAAAGTTTAGTTCATATTAGGATATCTCTTGATGACTTTCCTTTGCGATGTGATAATAAAGGTCAATTATGAGGTGTCATTTACCCATCTGTATGTTCTTGAGGTTTGGCAAAGCCGGATGAAATTGTGTTACAAGAGGCAATTTACTTCCGTGTGCGCGCTATTTTCTTTGTTTTAAAGTATGCTTCTCTCCTGCAGAAATAACTCCAGAGATACGTTTCCCACAACATTCATCTAGGTTTCATCTATTCTCGAAGGGTATTTTGAAACTCTGTACGTTTTTACTAAATGTGGAGCGAGAAAAATTCGTCCATAGGAGGTGTGAAGTTTCTCCTCTTACAAATCTCGTCATTGCGCTTGATGGAGAAAGCTTGTGTATTATAAGATCTCTGTCTCTTAATATGCGTTTGCCTGTTAAGGGTCAATTCCCTGTTTAATAACTCGCGTCTAGGAATATAATTTC